GTATCCTCATAAAGACCTCTTCATCCAAATCTCCATGAAGAAACGCATTGTGCACATCCATCTAATGTAGCTCCCAATTTTTCCCAGCGGCAACTTGAAGAACCAATCGAACTGTACTTATCTTTGCTACATGAGCAAATGTATCAGAATAATCAATCCCTTCTTTATAACGATTGCCACATGCCACGAGTCTCGCCTTATACCTTTCAATCGAGCCATCAGCATTGTACTTAATTGTATAAACCCATTTACATAATTGTTCAATCAACCATGTTTGATTTCGTTCTTGGGCCTCAATCTCGAGTCTCATAGCTTCTCTCCATCGTGGATCCTTCATGGCCTCAGCAAAACTTTTCGACACAACTCCTTCAGTTATACTACCCAGAAATGCCTTGTGTGACATAGAGAACCTTTCATAATTCACATAATTCTCAATACTGTAATCATTACTCAACTCCTGACTCACAGTGGATGTATTCATTGTAAATGTCGTATTGCACACATAGTTGCGTAACTTGACAGAAGATTCTTTCTTTCTCATTCCTCGTCCCAAAGTTTCTGTTGATGCAGGCTGTTGCACAGTTTCAGCCTGTGTCACCGATGCAGGTTCTGTTACTAAAGCAGACTGCACATTCTCAGATTGTGTAACCGATGCAGGTTCTGTCACTAAAGCAGGCTGCACAATCTCAGACTGTGTAACCAATGCAGGTTAAGTTCGTGGCGCTGTAATTCCTAAGATATCGCGTATTTCGTTTCCTATAGTTTGTCTTTCTTCTTCTGCAACCTTGTCTGACACAACCTGAGTCTTTGTCATTGTATCTCTTGTGAGAGGTTGTATAAATTCCCTTGTCAAGGCAGGTTCTATATCGTCAAATCCAGCATTATCATCCACATATAACCTCGTTTGATTAGAATTAGAAAGCTCATCTCGCTGTGCATTTTTTAGTTCCAAATATGGGAATCGTTCCTTAATAAAAGTGACATCCCGAGAAACAAAGATCTCATGTGTCTCCAAGTCAAATAAGTTCCATCCCTTCTTTGCATAAGGGTATCCCAAAAATACACATTTTCTGCTTCTACTCGCAAATTTATCTCCATAACGTTTCTGATTGTGAGCATACGCTAAACATCCAAAAACTCGTATCTCACTATAAGCAGGAGCTTTTCCAAAGATGATTTCATAAGGACTCTTACCATTGTGTAACACAGAAGGCGTACGATTGATTAGATACGCAGCACTCAAAGCACAATAACTCCAAAGTTCTATTGGTAAATTTGCCTGAAACCTCAACGCTCGTGCGACATTCAGTATATGTTGATGTTTTTGCTCCACTCTACCATTTTGTTGAGGAGTTCCCACACACGAAGTTTGATGAATTATCTCTGATGTACGAAAATACTCTTTCATACCCATAAATTCACTACCATTATCACTTCGCACGATTTTCACATGTTTCTCAAACTGATGCTGAATGAGAGCAAAGAAATCTACCATTGTTTTCTGAACTTGTGTTTTATCAGCAAGAAGAAAAACCCACACAGCTCTCGAATAATCATCCACGATAGTTAAAAAATAAGAGGATCCACACACGCTCTGTGTTCAATATGGCCCCCACAAATCACAATGAATCATCTCAAAGCATTCTTTGCTTTTCTTTGTACTCACAGGAAATACATTCCGACACTGCTTTGCTTGGAAAAAGACATCGCAATCAGAAACACTAACACTCTTTTGATCCACTTCTGGCAATCTTCTAATAACCTTTTCAGAAGCATGTCCCATCCTTCTATTCCAAAGTTCCAAAGACCCCAACTTACTGACCTTCGCCACATTCACGGTCTTCTGAATACCTTGAAGAAAATACAATCCATATTTTCTTTCACCCACTGCAATCAGAATTTGCAAAGCAAGATCCTGTATCTGACACATTTGCTTGGAGAACAACACAATGCAATTCATTGCATCAATAATCTGTGACACGGAGATGAGATTTCACTTGATTTCCTTGACAAAAAGCACATGTGTCAAAGTTAACTTCTCCGTCAATGCCACACTTCCTTCTCTATCAGCAACCACAACATTTCCATTAGGCAGACCCACTAAACATGGTGAGCCTTTATGCACATCAAACATACCACTTAACGTACCTGTCATATGGTGCGACACACCACTATCAATAATCTATTTTTCTGTATAGGTGTTATCACTCACACGATTTTCTATCTCTAATCTCGAATCAAACCATCGAACAAGCTTATGCCATTGATCTTTCTTGAGCCTTGTCACAGCCTGTGGATCAACCTGTGACGCATTCGTGTGTGACACATGTTTTTCAGTGTGTGACACATGTTTCGTAGGTTTTCCATACTCCTCCAGCCACCAATCTGGATATCCATATACCTGATAACATGATATCACATCATGACCATACTTCGAACAATAAGAACCCTTAATTCCTCGACTCTGAAATATCATATTTCTAAAAAACAGAGAAATTCCCAAGATTTCTCCACCGAATGAAGAAATCTCAAGCTCTTATGGCTCTACAAAAATCTCGAACCTCATCGGTCTGAGTTCACCACCAAAAACAAATGAGCAAGACTTCGTCGGTTTGCTTTCCAATAAACCACAATTTATAAACAAGAATTTGAATCAAGAGCTAGACCAAAACTTTATGTAGCCTTATGCTCTGATTCAAGAGCTAGACCAAAACTTTATGTAGTCTTAGGTTCTGATACCATGTCAAAGTAATTTGCGGAAGTGATTTATTCATCAGCCTAAAGACACATATATTTACATGTACATTAGTCAACCTTGAGTTAGAAACTAGCAATGTGAAACAAATTACTCTAATAATTTTAATAACTAACTATACAAGGCCTACTAAACCTAATATCTCCTAATATATCTTAATAGGTTGCTGCTTAAATCAACACGTTCTCGTACAAGCAAAGAACCAATTCAGTTTTTGGGAAAATTAATAAAAGCACTTGCTTAAAACCTTCTTACCCCACAGTTATGATCGTCTTACAAAATCAAAAACAAGGAAGTCACACGGTGAAAGAATATGCAGAATTTTATTCAATGTTACTAATGCCTAATGAGCTTGTGTCTCTTTATTCTAGTTGGTGGACTTGGAAATTGCTATCTACGAAGTTGGAACCTCTTGAAATAAAGAAGCTTCATGAAATCTCCGCAAAGTGTTGCGCGGCTTGTGCCCAAGTAAATTCAACATTATAGAGAATGAAAATTACTTGGTGCTGAAAGTTTAAAATTTTTAAGAAATAAGGAAGTCAAACCTTAGTTTTCTATTGACAATAAGGAGCGACGAACAAGATTGAAGAAAAATGATAATCTCCATGTGATGAACTGGAATTATCTAGTTTAAATGGGAGAGGTTCTGCACTATAACAATAACACTTCTACAAGAGCTAAAGAGAAAAACGTTTTGAGAATTTGTGACGATTTCTGGTTAAAAGCTTAAGGTGCGCCCTAAGGGTTTTGTGGAAATTCTTGTGTTGAATTCACGGTATGTGATCGCTAGGGATTTCTATGCTTTCTTGAAAAATATCGGTATCAAACTTAGTTTTTCTTAGGGTTGTGTAAAACCGATAAACTAGGCGTGTAACGATGCTTAAAGGTTTACTATAGAGTGTTGAAAGACAGTTTTTAAAAAAAAAATCCATAATATATTTATGTGTTTTCAAATCTGTACAAAAGTTTCAAAGCTACTCTTTTTATTGTTAAGAACACAATCACCTACCTAATTTCAAATCTTACTATATTCAACGATGATACCTTTACCAAACTTCAGCAGACAAATTGGGTGCCATAATCTCTACCTGCAATAAAGTAGTTTCAAAACCAGCCGATGTTTCTTTTGATTTGGAGGATTAGTGGTCATTTAAACGTTCTCGTGGATTGGGATGTTAGTTTTACATGTTCTGATTTCAATTATTACTATATTTTTTGACAAAGTTATAACTATATTTGTGGTCAGAAATCGATATGCTTTCTTGTGTAATAGCGATTCTCGGAGTGGTCTGACTTATGTTTGCCATTTGCTCCAACAGAGGTTGTCAAGCACATGACTATAGATAAATATCGTGTTGACAGTCACTCGACGAAAAATGGGATCATTAATGTTTTTAAAGAAAATTGATTGTAAAATTTATTTAAAAATAAAATTATTTCTACGACTTGTGTGGCTTTGTTCTGAGATTTTTGAGCCTAGGAATAGTCCACAGAGCCTTAACATAGATAAACAGAACAATGGAGATTTAAGAGATCAAATCTTCGTAGCAAACCAATACTCCATGCTTGCTTTCCTCATATTTGCTATCCTTGTTCCTCATATTTGCTATCGCCAAGGACTCTTATCGACGTTAATTGATTACGAACGTGCTTGTCAATGCGTTGATTTAGTCGAGCTGATGATGTGGGAGCGTTTTCCATGCCACCGGGCATTAGATATCGGATAAATTCGCATCAGAAAATATGATATTTCTTATTTCTTTTGTAGTAGTCAGTGTTGAGACTGTGTATATTGAATCTAGTTTGTAAGCGTGCAAACAGTGCTGGCTCTTGCCATATGCTCAAGGTGCATTTGCACGGCATCTAATTTTTTTGTTTGCAAACTTTAAAATAGGGAGTTTAGGGTCTTTTTAAAAATATTTAAAATATTTCTGTAATTTTCTGTATATTAGATCTATAAATTAGATTATTGCACTGGATCTGTAAGATTTATGAGCCAGCCTTGGTGGCAAATAAACCATACTGAACCAATTATTATTAGTTTAAATTCTTTTTTTTTCAGAACCATTGTTATTGCTCGAAAAAGGCATATTATTCTTCTTTTTTCTGCCTCTCCTTTAAATCCTTTAAACTCGTTACTAAGATAAGAAGAAAACCCTAATGATGTTTCATTTGTCTTCAACCTCTACCCCCTTGTTAGCTTCAACGAAAATCTGAAAAAAACAAAACATAAAAAAACCTAATTATGCCGAGACTTCCGTCAGATATAGAGGTAGAGATACTCACTAGGGTTCCAACTCTATCTGTAGCTCGCTTCAGATCCGTTTGCAAAGAATGGAACGCTATTTTCAACGACATGAAATTCATGTTACAGACCGATTCCAAGATTTATTCGATAAGCATCAATCTCAAAGACGACGAGCCAAATATCAAAGTTCGTGAGTTAACCACCTCTTTTGATTTTCCCGTTTTAGCCACTGCTAACTGCGATGGGTTCATCTTCTTATTTGACTACTTCACTAAGATGGATAAAGGCGCAGTTTGGAACCCATGTTTGAGACAGGCTACATGGATTGAGGTGAAACCTAAACAATTATATTACACTTTATGTGGCATGGGTTATGATAGTAGTGGATCAGGAAAGAGTTACAAGATCGTTGGGCTTACTTATAATGTCAACAAACTGAGTTTTGCAATCTACGAATTTGCAACCAAATGGAAGTTTATTGATGATGACGAATACAATGGAGAGCCCGGAACACAACAATCGTTATCTTATAATAATTTGTCCCTGAATGGGAATTTGTATTGGACTGCTAATAATCTCTATACCCATCAGTGTTTCGTCCGAATCCTTGATTTTTCGAAAGAGATATTGAAACCCTTTTGTATTCTACCGTGCACCATAGGCATGTTCTCGCGGTTTTCAAGGGAGATCGATTTTCGTTGTTAGAACAATGCGATTTAACACTGAAGACTGAGATTTGGGTGACAGAGAAGAAAATTACTAATGTTGAGGTTGGAGATGCTGTGGTGTGGATTAAGTTCATGAGTATCTCAATACCTAATTTCACTTGGTCATACGAGTGTACAAGTTACTTTGTTGATGTTAATGTTTACCGAAAGTGCTTCGTCATGTGTTGTAGCGACAGGGATAGACAGGCTTGCGTCTATATTGTCAGGGGAGATAAGTGGAGAAAGATTAAAACAGATGATGTGATTGGTGGGTTACACCACTGCTCTGTTTATGTTTCCAGTTTGATCCCCACTCCTTGAGAGACTTTAAATGAAGAGAACAAGGATTTACAAGTTTAATCTTGTTAGTTTACATTGTTGCTTTCTAGTTTTAGTGTTCTTGCATGTTTTGGTCCAGCTCCTGAGTGATCTTAGCTTCTTCTTTTTTTTACATTGTCCTTGATTTGTTTTGTTATAACTCACTTTTTCGACTCGGCCGTTCTCATTTGTTTTACAGGACAGAGCTTTCATAATTTATGTACTGAAGGTTCATTTGTTGAGCCTAATTGGGTTAGTAGATGGTTTGTTTTCAAAATAGTACGTTAGCGTGGGCAATCAAACCAAACAGGACAAAAAACTCTTACTTTACTGAATGTATTACCAAACTGAAATAAATATATCAATTTATGTTAACGCAGTTGCACTTGTAGCATTGAGGTTTCGAGGTCATGCTATACCTTGGTGGAAGAAGCTTAAATCAACATGGACTTGTACAACCAAAATTTCACATTACGCAGCACTCCGTTACAGAAACAAAACAATCTTGATGGTATATTAGTGTGTCCCAATGTGGGACTTTACATCTTTGATACTACCAATTTTCAAGCTTTTCAAGTCACCCAATTTGGACCTCAATTTCTCTTTCAAATCAACTCTGATTTCGACAAGTGAATAGATTATGTTATAGTACGGATGAGGATGATTTAATCGTGCCCAAAATCCGGTCAATTCAACAGATGTCTCTGCATGAAAGCTCGTCGAAAAATGTCAAAACCGCTTCATCAAAAACGTATTTTTTTAGGAGGCGCACAATATCGTACGCCAGGAGGAATTAATACTCTGAATCATATTCACGTGGTCAAGAAGAAAACCCCGAAGTTACTGCCTTTACGATTAAAACTAGACCTTAAAATCAACCAGATAATAGAGAACGACAAGGCTTATTGATCTTCCAAGATCGACATTGTCGTGAATCAAGCTAAAAAAACAATAATTTAAGAGAGAAATATCGCAAATTGAGGCAAACATCCGTTTAAGGTTTTTTTATTATATGTGTGAATGAATAATTATAAATCCTAAGTCTTGGATTTATAGCCTCAAAAACCTAACTTCCAAATCCATTAGATAAAGAAAAACTTAAACTTTGTATTTACAAACCCTAAGCCTTCGACCCGTTACATTTTTCAGCTCACGCTAGCATGGCCTCTTTAGTTATTTTTGTCACCAGAAACAATAATCTACATCTTGATAAAGAACCTCCATAAAGTCACCTTCAAACTCCAATCACTTTCGGAGGATTTCTACTTCTTCAGCACTTGAAGACATGGAGCAAATCCAAGCAATGCTTGAACTTCTCCATAGTAACGGGCTTGATCAACATATCAGCTACATTCTCTGACGTATGCACTTTCTCCAACAAGACTTCTTCAGATGCAGACAATTCTCTGATCTTATGAAATCTGACATGAATGTGCGTCGTCCTTGCATGATATACCGGGTTCTTGGCTAGAGACAACGCACTCTGACTGTCGCTGTATAGCTGAACTCCACCTTGATCAACACCCAATTCTGTCACAAGTCCCTTGATCCAAAGTAACTCCTTAGCTGCTTCTCCCATTGCCATATACTCAGTTTCTGTGGTAGACATTGCCACAACAGATTGTAGCACAGATCTCCAACAAATAGGACCTCCAGCAAGAGTAAAGACATACCCTGTAGTAGACCTCCTGTTGTCTAGATCACCAGCATAATCTGAATCCACATATCCCATAACTGAGCCACACTCTTGACCACCAAACATAAGCCCAAGATCGCTTGTACCCTTTAAGTATCTGAAAATCCATTTGACGATTTTCCAGTGTTCTCTTCGAGGATTGGACATGTAGTTGCTCACTTGACTAACTGCTTGTGCTAAATCAGGTCTAGTGCACACCATAGCATACATCAAACCGCCAACTACACTTGCATAAAGAACCTTCGACATATCTCTGATCTCTTGATCAAACTTAGGACACTGCATCGCTGAAAGTGAGAAGTGTATCGCCAAAGGTGTAGACACTATCTTTGCATCTTTCATGTCAAACATGTCTACAATCGTCTGAATATATCTCTTTTGAGAAAGCCATAATCTCCTAGAGCTTCTTTCTCTGCGAATTTCCATCCCAAGGATCTTCTTTGCAGCACCAAGATTCTTCATATCGAACTCTTTCTTCAATAACTCTTTCAGCTTATCAATTTCCTCCATATCTCTTGCAGCAATGAGCATATCATCAACATAAAGCAGTAGGTATATGGGAGAATGGTCGTCCATATACCTCAGTGAGTAACCCTTTGCCACCAATCTTGCCTTGTACTTAACTGGTTCCTTCTCAGACATTCTATGTTTTACCTTAAACATGGGATCTAAGGCCTTTACCAAAACATGGGATCTAAGGCCTTTACCATTTGCATCCTATCGCCCTCTTACCTTTTGGTAAAGGACTTAGATCCCATGTTTGATTTCTGTCCAGGCTCTCATTCTCTTCTGTCATAGCTCCAATCCAGAAATCTTTCTCAGGACTTGAGATAGCCTCTCAAAAATTTGCTGAATCACCTGAACCAACCACCAAAGCATAACTCGCCATATCTTCAAACCCTAATCTTTTATGCGGCTTAATGATGAGTCTTGGTCTTTGAAGTGCTAAACTCTCCTCTGCTTTTCCATGTTGAACGTCTTGCTCCACCACAACAGGTTTTCCATCACGTCCTGCTGCTAGTCTAGTCTCACTAGACTCCTCCTGTGATTTACTAGAATCCGTATCATTCTCAATGATCACAGGAATTTGATCTGATCTCGCCTGCTGCACCATATATTGCTCATCAAAGACCACATCTTGACTGAATACCCTCTTCTTATCAACAGGATCATATAACTTGAAGTCTTTCACAGCTTTTCCAAAACCCAGAAATATGCACTTTTTGGATTTTGAATCCAGTTTTGATTTTTCGTCACTTAGAACCAGCATGTAAGCTGGACATCTAAATATCTTCAAGTTTGACAGATCAATATCTGTCCCAGTCCAAATCTCTTCAGCGACCTTCCCTTCTAAAGAATTCCTAGGCGACCTATTGATGAGATACACCGCCATGTTTACTGCCTCTGCCCAGAACTGCTTTAGAAGTCCTGCATTCAACCTCAAACACCTTGCCTTTTCTGCAATAGTTATGTTCATCCTCTCACTGACATCGTTTTGCTGTAGTGTTTTCCTGACAGTAAAGTGTCTTTGAATGCCATGATCCTTACAGAACTTCTGGAACTCCCCATCAGTATACTCCGTGCCATTATCTGATCTCAGATACTTAACCTTCTTCTCCACCTGATTTTCAACTTCAGCCTTCCAAACCTTGAAGTTGGCAAAAACTTCAGATTTCTGCTTTAAGAAGTACACCCAAACCTTCCTGGAGAAGTCATCAATGAAGATAACGAAGTACCTAGACCCTCCCAATGATAGTTCCCGAGTTGCACCCTACACATCAGAATGGACATAGTCTAAAAGACCTTTTGTCGTGTGTTGTCCTATCTTGAACGAAACTTTGGACTGCTTTCCCATCACACAGAACTTGCAGAAATCCACTTGCAATTCTTTAACCATCCAAAAGACCCCTTTTATGGAGTTCAAGCAACCCATGCTCTCCTATATGCCCCAAGCGCATATGCCAAAGAGCCGTGCTATCAGATCCAGACACAGCAGCTGCAGCTCCACCTACAACCACGCTCCCTAACATCCTGTAAACGTTCCTAGTTATCATCTTTCCTTTAATCACTACCATAGATCCCTTACAGACCTTCAAAACGTCTTCATCTTCATCACCTCTGAGTCTGAATCCGTTTTTGTGAAGAGTACCCAACGAGACCAAATTCTTCTTAACCCCTGGAACATGCCTAACATCAGTCAATGTTCTGATGATGCCATCATGCATGAGAAACTTGACCTCTCCAGAACCAACGACACCACATAACATGCCATTTGCTACTGGAACAGATCCCATGTTTCCAGCCCTATACGTCTAAAACCATTCTCTGTGATGAGTCATATGGAATGATGCACCTGTATCCAGTATCCAAGAGTCTGTGTGATCACCAGATGTCACAGCCAACAAATCGCCTACACTATCATCTGAATCCTTATTCTGAACCATGTTTCTAGAACCAGATCCACCGTTCTTTTTTCTGTTAGGACAATCCCTTTGATAATGACTTTTCTGACCTCAACCAAATCACATCGAATTCTTTCCTGGCTTAGACTTTGACTTGTCCCTTTTACTTCCATCCTGCTTCTTTTATTGCCTTCCTCGTTGCTGGTTGCTACTCACGTAAAAACCATCACCTTGAGACTTGTCTGCCACAGTTTTTTTCTGTCGTCTTTCCCAATGGGATTGCAGCGAAGTACAAACCGTCTCAAGCGATATAGTTGTTTTTTCGACTGTAATAGCTGTCACCAAATTCTCGAACTGAGGAGGAAGAGAACACATTAAGATCATGGCTTTATCCTTGTCCTCAATTTTAACATACACACGCTCCAGATCTCCAATGATTTGGTTGAAGTTGTTGACATGACCAATAAGATCGCCTGACTCTGCCATCTTCAACTCATACAACATCTGTTTCAGATACAGCTTGCTGGATAACGATTTTGACATGTACATCTTCTAAAACTTATCCCACATCTCCTTGCAAGTGATGATGTTCATCACCTGATTGGTTAGTATCATCAGAGAGACAAAGTCGAATCGTCGAAACAGCTTGATCCTGCATATCGTCCCAATCATCCTTCTCGATCTTATCTGGCTTCTTCTCTAACAGCGCCTTCTTCATTTCCCATCGAACCTATGAACATCAAACTTAAGATAACTTCCCTTCGTCATGAAAATGTTACGCGGAAAAACCTAGAGTTCTGATACCACTTATTGTGAATTAAGCTAAAGAAAGCAATAATCTAAGAGAGCAAAATCGCAAATTGAGGCAAACACCAATTTAGAATTTTCTTATTATTTGTGTAAAT